CCCCGCAACGCGGCTATAAAGCCGCACACGTGCCGCAGTAGGGCCATAGAGTGTCCGCCATATTTGGCCACTGTTTAGAGCGGAAGCGCTACTGAGAACTTAAGTCTTTGGTAGGGTCTAGAAGGGCAGTGTAGTTTCCTGCCATTTTGGCCACCGCAACGCGGTAATACAGCCGTGCACGTGCAGCATTAGGACCGTGGAGGGTCCGCAATCTTTGGCTACGGATTAGAGCGGAAACCCAACAGAGGGGTAAAGGGACTGGCCCCCCCCCCCAGACGAATTAAGATTTATGACCTCCAAAATATGGTCCCAATAGCTTGGGCGCCTTAATGTTAATTTTACTTTTTGCGTATTTCGCTATATCTTGAGAACTTAGCAAATAAAATTTTTTTTTGGATGCAATTATAAAATTTTTTTATCCAAAGATAATTCCATGCAGAAATTAAATGTAAGTAAATATTTACTATTTTATTTAATAATAGTCAAAAGAATTTTGAATTGTCAGGTACATAATTTTTAACATCATTTTAAAGCGTAATTTTGCATGGCAAATTACGAAATTTTAGCGAAATCGGTTGAGAAATCGGTTTTTTAAAAAAGTTGTATTAATATTTGTAATTAACAAAGTCTTGAATTATGATATGCAAAACAATTTCTCAATGAGAAAATTGTGGCAGAATTAAAAGATGTGTAATAACATGTACTTCATAGTTATATTTAATTTTTAATTGATGAATTGTTTATTAGAAGTTATTAAACTTAGCTCAAAATATTCTAAACTTTTGTCCAACTTGTTAAATGTTAGTGATAAAATATACGAACGAAAGCTGAATCATCGAAGTTGGAAATATTTATTCCATTTTTAATTTTTTTTTTAAAAAAAGTTCGTCTTTAAGGGTAGTCAACGTTCTAAATAAACATTAAAAAAAAAGCTTATTGAAAACTCGAGGAAAAGCTAAATGTGCTAAGAAACAGCAATAAAAGTTTTTATAGAGTTGCTGAGATGAATAATATCATTAAAAACACTATAATGATTAAAAGAAGGCAAGAGAGTCATTACATTATGCACTGTATTCTAAAAACGTAGAAATGAAAATGAAAACTTTTTTCATTTTAATTTTGTAATTATATTTAATTACTATATTGGCTAACACTTGTATAACCCTCACACTTGTTCGATAAAAACTGATCACTTTTATTGCAATTATGTGAGTTATGTGGCTACAACATGACTATTTATTAGTATTGAAAATTTTCTAATTCATATGCATATGAAAAGAAAAAATTAAATGTAATTTGAATGAAATCTGTTATTTTTAAACTATACCTGAATGAAATCGTGTTAACAAAATCACTTAACTTAAGAATAGTTGCTTTACTTCTAATTTTGTTATTAAGGGAAATCATTCATTGTTTTAAGTTTGTATATGTCGCTTTAAATTCAGAATTGTTTCTATTCTAAACTTTTTAAATATGAGTAGATCGGTTTGACCGGCAGAAATGTTGGCTGGAAAAATGTCCACTATTTTTGAAAAATATATGAGATTAAATATTTGTTTAGCATTTCGTAAAATTTATTTCTGGTGCTGTTCTGACGTTAGCTAGGCGCTGCTGAAATATGAGAATAAGTTTTTTTTAAATTTTTTTTTTATATAAATAACTCCCATCGTAAATAAAACAGTGAAATAAATTATTCGTTTGAGATTCGGGGAATACTTAGTAGCAGTTGCGATTTCAAAATTTAATGTTTAATTTTTTACAAAGATGAATAAACTTGCTTTAGTTTTCAATTTGTGAGACACCAGGGAAACTTTATTACGCTTTAAACCGAGAAAAACTTCTACATCTTGCTATTTACACGAAACTATAAATACAATATAAGTGTTGTATTCTAGTGGTATATTTCAAATTTGATAAAATAATCCACATACGAACGAATTATATTTGCATTTGTTTCACTAACTAACTGTTAAAAAAAAACTAACCTTAGTCTCAGTATTCTCTCAAAGTAAAAGAAAATGTGAAACAGTTGGCGTTTGGTGAAAATTTTTCTTCTAATGTGAAACTTTTATTGTTTTGACAGAAAAATGCTTCTGAATTTTTCCCTTTCATGTCAAGTTTAGCTTTGTGAAAATTACAAAGTTAGTACTAGTAATATGTATCATAATTCAAATGTTCTTCTAAACTTCTTTTTCTATAAAAATCATTGAATGAACTCCAGAATCCTTTATTTCTTTTTTTGACGAGGATTAACCCTCTAACATTTTCATTCAAAAATAGAAAATATAATTTTTAATTTTGTACTCACATTGAAGTTGCCAGTGGGATGGATAATTGTTAGAAATTATATTTTCGATTGAAAGTATAGTTAGACAAATGAATCAATCGGATTAGTTAATTTACT